AAATCATCCAGTTACTTCGGATCGTCTGACAATAAAACATGATCTCGGTAAGGATCCTTTCTGGTCCAATCTTTTAAGAACATGAGGAAAGTTACCTAAGTCCGCTAGGGTAGCACCAGAAAGATGAAAAAAAAAAAGTCTTTTCAACAGTGGTTGAATAAAAGATGTTGAATGTCATGTTCTTTATTTTATGGACACTCCATGAAAAGGTTGGGTCAAAAAAACAATCCTACGTATCAAGGTCATTTACAATGAGAAAACCAAGGAGTGAATCTCCCTAACAATCGGTACTGTCATCATACGGAAGACGCGCTAGAAAAAATAATTGAGCTACTGCCATTTGACTGAATTAGAATCTGAAGGCAAAAACCCAAACTTGATGAGGGAGATTGGGTAGCCATTAACCAACAACCGTACCTAATAAGTAATGCCTTACAAATTGATCCCAAAATAGAGATTCTTTTATCCTTATTTATATTGACTCAAGATAATATGGTCATCCCTAATCCAACACAGGAAGGTAGATGGGTAAATATTGATAATATTTTTAGGATTAAAATACTTAAAAATAACTCTACATGGTTGTCGTTTAAACCTGACACTCTCATTCTATGTCTGACTCTTTACCCCCTAAATTAAATCTGGACTTATACCTATGAAAAAAATGTCGAACGTATAAGAGAACTCTTCATACTTCAGTTAAATCAATGTATAGAATGTTAAAACCACACATCAATTTGAAAGACAGAGTGACAACAAGATGGATGAAACAACTAAATGTTAGTAAAGAGGATTTGAAGTCAGTCCAATGGTTCCGAATCATGAAATCTAAACCAACCAAGGTGGCTTCGCTACAGTGGCAAATTGAACATCGCTGCCTTCCCACGAAGGATTGGTTGATAGATCGAACTAATTTGAAACAAAAAGGAATAGCACTTCCATGGTGTAAATACTGCACTTCGACCTTTCCGACAAAAACAATTCCTGAAACCATGTAAGCTTATTTCTTATAATGCCCAAGAGCTATCTGATTATGGAGATGGTGGGAACGAATTTGGAAACAACTAAGTCCCCAATACCAATGACCCTGGAATTGGAAGGCAATCTTACTAGAATCTTGGATTTCAAATCCTTATAATGAATTCACCCACAATTTTGTTTATAGTAGGAAGAAGAGCAGCGTTGTGGGTCATTTGGTTGAGAAGATGCACCTTTAAAATGGAAGGCACAAGGTTAGATGGTCATGAATTAATTGATTAAATTAACCAACAAATTCAAACAGAAATCAAAAGGAAATGAGAACTTACAAAATAAAAACTCCAACACTTACATTCCCATAATGAAATTAGAAAACACATTCAGGAATTTAGCCGCTGCTGGCTTGGGGAAGCCCAAGGGAAAATTTTGGGCAAGGTCAAATGGTATAGGGCTGAGAGAGAAGAGGCTGAAGAGGTGTGCAAGGGCTACCACCTGATTTTCAGAAACAGGGTTACGATTGATCCAAATATACCTTTAACACCCTTGTCGGAATTTCCGAATCCCTTTTCCTCCACACGAAAGAAGTATGGTCCCAATATCATGGTATGGATACGAGTGAATTTAGACTTTAGGTCTAGACATCATATGCATGGTGAGGAAGGATGCTAGAAATGTCTAGGTGAATTAGGTGCCCTATTCAAAGGGTGAAGAGGCATTCCTATCGCCATAACCTTTCCTACCGCTCAGGCAATCCCCCAGGATAACTTGGGGTAATCAATGCTGATGGGTAGGTCTGATGATGGTGTATAAATGATTGTTATTTGTATTCGAGGGACATTTGACCCGCTTTCCAGCAGGTGCAGCTCCCCACCAATAAATGGAGTGACCAAGAAGGACTACTAGGATGGGCTGCTCGTATCACCCACCCTATTAGATTCTGCAGAGTCTTTAACACAGAAGTGCTATAGAGATCCTGTGTGCCTTCGAAGTTTACACAAACAGGAGGGCGAAGGATAAGACGAAAGGATCAACCTTCCCCCGGGTCCCCCTTTCCTTTCACCAGCAAAAGGCTGCTTATGCCCCTCCGTAATAAATAAATTGTCCAGGCATTCTAGACAAATTAGACACCTGAACAAAGAAACACCCAGTAAAGATTTCATTTGTTTAAAACACTTCGGCACGATATTTACGGAAAGAAGGCAATGTTTACAGCTAGCAGTTCCTTAACCGTCAATCTGCAGTGACAAAGAAAAAGAAAAAGTATGTGGTTCTTGTTACCACATTGTGGTTTCTGGTCGTGCCCTCCTCTGACATTCAAAAACCTTTCGCTGCCCCAATGACTTGTTTCTAATACATCTATGGAGGCAGGGTATTGTACCAGTACTCAGGATGGTGTTCAGTTTTGCATGAATTTAAACATATCATAGTCATCCGAAAAGTTTCCCAACCATCTTTCAAATTCTTTCAATTCACCTTCAGATAACGAAAGATTTGAGAGAAGAATATAGGCTACACTGCTACAGTAGTCAAACCAAAAAAAAAAAAAAAAAAAAAACAGTTCCACAACCACTCACCGGGTTTCCCGCAGGAGTGTCTACGCCTCCAAAGCTTCTTCTTAAAGGACAGGTACATACCAGCTTTCGGTCACGGGCCCCTTTCGGAGGCCGCCCACCGCCGATTCATTTTATCTATGGCATTCAGTCCCCTAAATTTTTGGAGAGGCTCAAAACAGGTCCTCCAGTTGCCTGGGGTCCTGTACGTGGTCCCAGCCAAGTTGAGAATCTGATTGAGCCTCTCCTAAAACTTTGGAGCCTTTGGACAGGGCGTCCGAAGGGCCAGTATGAAGCCAAAAAAAACTGTCCCATGATGAGGGGTGGCACTAGGTCCAGCCCTGAACAAACAAAAAAATTATGCCTGCCCCCAGGCAGGCGGGCCGTGCCCCGAGACCACCTCCGAGAGTTGATTGAATCACGACTAATTTTGCCATCAGATACTGACAGGAAAGTTGTGATGGGCGCAGGAGATAATGTGTGTCTCTGTAAGTATCTGATCCGAAATGTCGCCCAGGTTCAAATCCAATAACTGCCTCCCCCAATACAATCATCATCGTAATTAATACGAACGGAAAAAAAAGAAAAAAAAAGAAAAAAAAAAGGAGAGGGTCATTCCAATTCTCTAGATGTACTGGTGGTTTAGAACAGCAACCTGTACGGAACAGCTTAGCGCAGCTGAAGACTGATCCTGTGAAAACAAACCCTTCGAATCATATCATATATTGCAAAACAGTTTTGACGCCAGGGACCGCACTATTCAACCCGGAGTAATCTCCCTCCCTCACAGCAGCATCAGCCAGGTTAGCTTATGGACGAGCAATTACTCAGAGTCTAAGACTATTGCTACATAATTCCCTTGCAAGAGTCGAACCAATCAACGACTGGCTCTTTTACATTTCAAGGCGAACAAGTGAAGTTCACTAAAGGGGTCCTAAGTGAAGTTTACTAAAGGGGCCCTAAGTGAAGTTCACTAAAGGGGTCCTAAGTGAAGTTCACTAAAGGGGTCCATTTCAAAGAGGGATCAGGGTTGGCCTTCGGGACATCTGTTAAAATTGGAACGATACAGAAAAGATTCGCATAGCATGGCCCCCTGCGCAAGGATGCCACACATAAATCAAGAAATGGTCCAAAATTTCAAAAGAAAAACAAAAAAATCCAAGAGGGATCAGGGCAACAAATGAAGTTCACGAAAGGGGTCATAAGTGAAGTTCACTAAAGGGGTCCATTTCAAAGAGAGATCAGGCCAACGAGTGAAGTTCACTAAAGGGGTCCTAAGAGAAGTTCACTAAAGGGGTCCTAAGTGAAGTTCACTGAAGTCGTCCTAAGTGAAGTTCACTAAAGGGGTCCTAAGTGAAGTTCACTAAAGGCGTCCTAAGTGAAGTTCACTAAAGGGGTCCTAAGTGAAGTTCACTAAAGGGGTCCATTTCAAAGAGGGATCAGGCCAACAAGTGAAATAAGGTCATTGAAGAAGTCCCTGGTCCCACAAAGAGACTACATCTGTTTGTCTATCAAGTCGTTTAGATCAGATGAGCAGATGCAATTTCTCCCATTGTTGGGTGTTTAAAAGCAGCTTCAGGCTGCCTGCCTGCCATATTGGGGACCCCAATAAGTCACCGGTCTTGAACGGACATCTACACCCCCATAATATTATGCATATGGTGTTTTGTTCCCCTCACGGGTCCCCATTGCATGCGACAATCACTACATGGGTTACTTCATACACCTTTAGTGCCATTTGCCATCGACATAGGATGATAGGAGAGAGCACACACAGAGATGCATGAGTGCCCCATTGAGCACACAGAGATTGAGATGGTTAAGTGATCCGTTGTGCCTTTGTTCATGCCCGCATGCCTTCGCAAGCTATTATTCATTGTTTATGCGCTCATCATGCTTGCATTGACATCCCTGCAACTACGGTAAGGACCCTGCTCTTCTTCTTCTTCTTCTTCTTCTTCTTCTTCTTCTTCTTCTGCTTCTTTCAACTCGATTTCATGCTTGCCAGTGATAAGCAACCGGAATGTCACCCCCCAGAATAGAGGGGGCCCTTGCACGTGTTAGGGGAAAAAAAAAAAAAAAAAAAAAAAACCTATGAAAGGACCATAGGGAGTCATTCCGATGGAGTACAAGGTACAGCTATGATGGCAGCAAGAAGGACCATAAGAGTCCTGGATCATATGTGAGACTACGAAAAGTACTCCGTTCACTGCAAAATCGCACAGACACACACGGAGAGAGAGAGAGAGAGAGAGAGAGAGAGAGAGAGAGAGAGAGAGCTGTCTCTTATACACATCTAGATGTGTATAAGAGAAGAGAGAGAGAGAGAGAGAGAGAGAGAGAGAGAGAGAGAGAGAGAGAGAGAGAGAGAGAGAGAGAGAGAGAGAGAGAGAGAGAGAGAGAGAGAGAGAGATCACATGGCAGCTTGGGCACAAATAGATCGTTACCAACTTATCAATGGTTTCTCTCATAAATGCAAAGTGAAAACACCCATAATTTTAAAATTTTAACAGAAAAACAGAAAACAATTTACAGACAAACGAAACGGAGGATTGATAACGTACCCAATTGATATCCAAGAATTTGGCGGAATTTCGGCCTCTGCAGAGACCACTGGGACTGCAGTTTGGCAGAAGATGTGTTTGCCTCCTCCCCAACCACCTCCTGCTCTTCCTGCTCCTCTTTCTCCTCCTCGTTGTCCTTAACCGATGAACCATGATGATTAACGGTCTTGTTTGTGAAATGGCACAACCATGACAGTTAACAGTCTTGACTCTTGATGGTTGTTGTAGACTGGCATCATGGATTTCCGGTCCGGAAATCATACAACAAAGTTGACGGAGGCCTTGTTCTCACTGCGAGAAACTGACTTTGCTGCACTGAGACCTACATGAAAACTTTTGTCTGCATGCACATCATACATGTGAACAGAGAAGGGGAGAAACCCCTGCTGATTTGCTTGCTTGCTTGCTTACTGCTGAAACCGTCGCTGAAATGTTGACGTTCAATCTCCAGGAGCAGTTGCACTTTCAGACCCTCACAAAGTGATCGCAAATTTGAAACATGTCCAACACCATAAAAACTCTATCTAAGTAATAAGAGTGTCGTATTAATGAGATGAATAATAACTGGAGGAAAAGGTATCTGAGCTCTGCAGGTCAGCAAGAACGTCGCTTGCCCTGCCGTTGCCGCACACGCATGCTTCCTCCACAATGAGCGGTGGTGGCATCGCCCCTTTAAAGTTTTGAAGTTCAAACTTTAAACCCCTTTTGTCCAAACAGGCTTGATAATCACCCCTGATGCAACAGCCAGAAGCATAGTGAGATGCTGGGTTGGAACCTCACAAATGCATTGCATCCAGACGTGATATCTTCATCAAGAGAGAGGGGGAAGGGGGGGGGGGGGTTATCACCCCTCTTAGTTAAAGGAGGGGTGATATCTCCCCTAATTCGACAGCAAAATGCTCGGCCATATCCTGCAGACCTCACATTGCATTGCATCCAGACGTGCTATCTTCACCAATGTGGCAATAGCACTTCGGATGGGCTTTCAAAGAACATCAACCACGCCGTGTGGACACTTTTGGTGCCAGCACGACACACTGTCTGTGAAGCGAAGTTGCCCACCTGTTTCACAGTTCTAAACTGCCATTACTTCCTGCAATGACGCCGAAAGCGGCGTAAAGTTGTGAGTCAAGACACAGCTTTGTTGTGATGTAAATGGCGAGAACCAGAAACCTGGCATGCATTCTTCAACTAGCTTGCACCAGTTACATGGCTGCTTCCGTCTGCCACAACTGAAAACCAGACACATGACAGAGGACAGGGAGTGTTCCACTCAACTGACGAGGATGTCCTAATCACTGCCTCGACTTCCACCATGACAGTTGGTGTGTCCTCATCAGTTCGGCACTCTGTTTATGTCGGGTGTGACATGGTGTCATAATGGTCACACAGGCGAAATACCAAGCCGTCCCTATCAGTCGAGGCCGTGCCATGTCAAGCTGTCGTAATCAGTAAAGCCCTCAACTGATTCGTACGGGCTGTTCAGCGTGTCAGCATGTCGCAACAGCTCGTACGGTAAAGCCAGATCACGAAAGCATGCCCAACAATCGCTGCTTGGCTTCGAGCAGCTCAAAAACTATCGAGCAGATACCATCAGGCTTGTCAGACTTGCTTGTACTCAGTATGTAAGCCGGCGGGCAGATTTGAGAAGAGCAGCAAAGACAGCCAAGTACTCAAGTATGCCCTGGCTCTTCTCAGTAAGACTGAGGCATAAGCTGGCGCTCTCCTCTTCGTCTAGAGAGTTCTGAAGTAGAAATGGAACATGGACTGTCGAAAACTCATTCCCGGGGAGATCCACGCCGCCTGCACACTTTCGAAAAGTTTCCATGGCGTATCTGACCCAGGATAAGGCAAGATTCAATCGGTAACGTAGTAGCGATCATATGCCCTCGACTGCCGGGTATTCTGGCGCAAACACCCTGCTCTGACAGATGGACATCCACGTGGTGTAATTCCTCAAGTGAGCTGTGTGTAGACATTCCTTCCATCCAACGAGTATTTGCATCTGCAGTGTGAGTCTGTGTGACAGACTGCAGTGTGAATCTGTGTGACAGACGAACAATGTGGACCGCCATGCGTCTTCCACTGAAGAGCTAGATAGCTGCTTTAGCATCCACAGCTTCGACCCCGGACGGCGTCTCTCTGTCTCCCTCAACAGCTACCTCCCCCACAACGTCTCTCTATTCTTCAACAGCTAGTTTCTCGACAACGTCTCTCTCTACCTTATCGGCAAATTCCCCTACAACATCTCTCTGTTCTTCAACAGCTACTTTTGTCCACGTCTCTTTCCCCCTTAACGGCCAGTTCCCCTACAACGTCTCTCTCTCTCTCTCTCTCTCTCTCTCTCTCTCTCTCTCTCTCTCTCTCNCTCTCTCTCTCTCTCTCTCTCTCTCTCTCTCTCTCTCTCTCTCTCTCTCTCTTCTTCGATTCGTTGTGGAAGCTGTAGGCAATCAGTATGTGAAAAAAGAGGGCAACAATGTTGAGAGGATCCCAGCTGCTGCAGAAGAAGAGAACCAACCCCATCATCAGGGGGAGTCATCATCTGTAGAAGAGAGTAGCAATGGTCGTTCTCCACGCCTCCACCATCCAGATGCACATATGATCGGTGATCTGCATCTGGAAAGTGCCGACGACCAGGTGGAGATGGGTTGGGCTCGCTTCCCATAAACGCAAAACACTGGCCTCATGTTGCCCGTTATCCCGGTGACAGAGATCACAGGGTGCAAGGCAAGCGGTCCCCTGTCTCGCTGCCACGGATCCAGGTGCAGCTCCTTTTTTTTTTTTTTCCCTTCAACGTCCGCGGAAAACACCAGGGGCCAGAATTACACAGAGAATCAGTATGGTTTTTTTTTTTTTTTTTTTTTTTTCCCTTTTTTTTTGGGGGGGGGGGCGGGGGGCGGGAGAGAGAGAGAGAGAGAGAGAGAGAGAGAGAGAGAGAGAGAGAGAGAGAGAGAGAGAGAGAGAGAGAGAGAGAGAGAGAGAGAGAAGGGAAGAGTGGCTGGGAATCAGAACAGAGGAATGGCAAACTTCACAGGGTTCTCAATACTCACCGCTGGCCAGTCAGTTCGGTGATGATATCCCAAGGCCTGCCCCCCGCCCCTCCCCCCCCAAAAAGGACTATGGTATACGGGCCTCGCCGCATCACTCACCAACAGTCCAAATGGCAAAAATTACGCCCGTGTATCTATGATTGTTCTAGCGAAAGATTATTTCTCACTTCGCACATCCGGGGAGTGGTGCGGTGAGGTGCACAGCCACAAACCCAAAAGGAGGAAAAAGAAAAGAGTGAAACGAAGAGAAAAAAGAGAAAAACAAAACGGGCAGATACTGGGCCTCGACGCACCACTGGCCAAACGTGTTGGTCAGTCATGCGCCGACACCCAGTACCGACGCCCATTTCCATTTCTCTCTCTCTCTCTCTCTCTCTCTCTCTCTCTCTCTCTCTCTCTCTCTCTCTCTCTCTCTCTCTCTCTCTCTCTCTCAACAGCCACTCCCCTACAACATGTCTCGTTTCATCAACGCCTCCTCCCAGACAATGTCTGGCCCCCTCAACAGCCACTCCCCTACAGCATCTCGCTCCATTTCAACAGCTACTCCCATACAGCATCTCGCTCCACTTCAACAGCTACGCCCCTAGGGCATCTCGCTCTACTTCAATAGCTACTCCCCTACAGCATCTCGCTCTACTTCAACAGCTACTCCCCTACACCATCTCTCTCTATGAAATCTTGGTTGGTTGGAATTGACCTCTCCTAAGCCTGTGCCTGCATTGTCCTCCTGTAGAACAAACCTCTTTTACTCTGTCCATGACCGCAAACCTTACCTTTGCCGATACCACCTGACCCTTAATACTGCCGATCCTACGTGCAACGGCCATCCTCCCCTGCCCTCTACGCAGAATAATGTTCAATCGCAGAATAATGTTCAATCCAGTTGCACGCACATACTTACAGGAGACCGTATTCAGGACAGAATCAAGCTGCTGGAGGCATTAACATTAAAGCATCATAAACGGTTGGATCAAGCCGCCGCTTGATCGACTGGTTTGGTTTACATGTATGTGGCGCACAAGGTCACTGAGTCGGGAACCTTTTGCTCTTACGTATACAACAACACTCAAACTAGACACGGATCCTTCGCCTGTGGACTGGTATAGGATGATGGAGTATACCGCACATATACTAAAATGAATATAAGATTGACCAGGGGGGCTAATGGAGGAGGGGCATGTGCTCTCAGGTTATATAAATACATTTACATTGTGTGCTTGAACACCCACGTTCAGAAAGAAGGGGCATGTGCTATCAGGCGGCATAGATAGACTGGCATGTATAGACAGAATCAGATACTCAGATGGATAGATAGACGCACATGCTGTGCTCGCACACCCATGCCATGGTTGTCAGTAATTGCATATGTGAAAAAAGCGTGTAAATGACCGCTTCCTTAGAGGGACATGCGTATGTCATTGCCGCCAATTCCTCAGCGGCATAGCCGCACAGTCAGCTGCCTGATTTTGTGGTAATGCGCGTCAAATAACAGTCAAAGAATTGTTCTCATGGCCACCAATGTATGAGATTGGGCGGCAGCGGTCAATGCGCCAATGACCATCCACAATAAATTTCATCTGAAAAAAGAGGAAAAAAAGAAGACAGCCACGAAACAAAAAAAAAATTGCACAGGGACACACAGAGACAAAAATGCACAAGAAGACACTCAGGTAAGCTCTCACAAAAATGGAGGTACAGAAATGGGTGCACATACCTGCACATTGCAGACAGCAGAATCAGCAGATACTTATACATGTCTGTTTTTAATTTTCACCCCAACAGCCCCCGTTCCACCCAGATGAGTGGATTTAAAATTGAAGCAGCTTTACCTCTATTGCAGACAATGAAGCACACTTTAAGATGACACTGAAACAGTTTTACCTCTATAGCAAGCAACATGGAGCAGAATAGATCTATTGTTTCCCTTTCTTAAGTATCTTTACTTCAGATCTCTTTGTGGCACCGCTTTCATTCGTTCTTGCAAGGCTGGCCACCTTGATCCAAGTGTGCCTTACCGGCATACTCGTACGTTATGAAAGGAGGCAGAGCAAAAGCCTCTACATTTTTCTTCAGATCTTCAGCTTATATTTAGTCTGATCTCTTAATGATGCTCATTTGTATGTATTTATTAGTAGAACAACAAGGGGTGGGAGGAAGGAAGGAAGGAAGGAAGGAAGGGATGGAGTTCTATAGGAAGCAAGAGGAGAGGGGGGGGGAGAGAGAGAGAGAGAGAGAGAGAGAGAGAGAGAGAGAGAGAGAGAGAGAGAGAGAGAGAGAGAGAGAGAGAGAGAGAGAGA